GATGACTCAGGCGACAGAAGGGACTAGGGCTTGTAAAGCGAGGCCTCGGCTGACCGGCTAGTAAGTTGGACTGGCAGCCTGAGACTCCACACAGGTGTGCGGGCACCAATCAGAGGACTGTGGGAAGTTTGACCCAGGGGCTGCCAGAGGCACTGCAAGCTGGTAGGCTTCCAGGAAAACCAGTCTGACCACATTGCAAGGATACAAGAGATGTCCAGAAAAATCCCGCTCAGAAAATTATCCTAAGGAAATCCATCATGTGAAGGAAGACATTCACTTCAGTATGTCATACAAGGAGAACCTGAAAGCAATCCAACTGCCCAACAGAAGGTGAGGAATTGAAACAACTGTGGCCTCAATTAAATCATGCAGCCATTAAGTAAATAAATATGAAGGCAACAGTGAAGTTACTTATGATTCAACATCCATGTAGTAAGATCATAAAGGAATATTCACAAGTCTAGGTATGGTGACATTTATCTGAACATCTTAGAAGGAAATACATTAAGATTAGACAAAAAATAAGACCAATACCCTATTTTCCAAACGTTCTGTGGTTGATTTTTCCTGATTAAAAGATCACTTCACAGCAAAGACGAGAGAACCAGGAGCTGGAAGTGCTTGTGAGCAGTGCTGGCGCTTGTCCACAGGCCCCCCGAGGGTGCCCCAGCAGCCTGCTGGGCTGGGCCGCCCGGGCACAGATCACGGGGCTGCAGCAGGCTTCCCAGGGACCCAGCTCCACGCCTCCGGGTGCCAGCATCCCAAACCAGCTCCCTGGCAGCACCTCCTGTTCATCTTCCTGGAGCCAGCTGAAGCTCAAGGATGTGGGGACGGGGAGCGACCGGAGTGGGCACAGACAGCTCATGGCTCACGCCCCACCTTCCCTCCCGGTCGAGTCCAGCTGGAGTCAGAAAAGGAATATAGCCTTTTTATTGACTACTTTAAGTAGAACAAACTAAATACATATTTAACAGTTTTGGTTCATTTATACAGTACATTAAATAAGTTATGCACAGAGTTAAGTAACAAAAGTTCCTATCAGAGTAAAACGACAAAGCACAGAAAAAACCAGACTCGAGTGCATCCTGCAGGTGGTTTCACATTCTCATTCCCCTTGAAGCCATGCTTGGGGCTCAGTCTTCTTTTTACTTACAGCATTGGCTGGCTTTACAGACGGCGCCTTTGCAGCCCCCCAGGAACGCGGAAAGCCAAGGCTGTGGGCCAAAGGCCTCTCACCCCAGCAGTCTCTCGACCGTTCGCCCGACGCGTATTGCTGCTGCTCTCTGCCGACTCCAGGCAGGGACACGGGCCACGCCCTATTTGGTATCAGCATCAGTGAGTGTACACGGGGTAGCTGCAGGCCTGACCAGAGGCGGTCTGCTCCATCTCAGGGGCTGTGGGGGAGGGGGTGGAGGACACAAGGCTGGCCCTCAGGCCTCCTAACCTTCTCTGGCTCATGATGGAAAAGGTCACCTGCACCATCATCTTTGGAAATGAGCGTGTTAACGGCCGTGGGCAGAGGCAGGGAGTCAATGTTTTGGTTTCACACGAACTGTACTGCAGACACTCAAAGGAGTTGGACGGCCCCTACCGAGCCACTGTGCAATCACCCACACAACCCGGCAGGACTCCCCTCAGTGGGCCGTCTGGCCCAAGTTGGAATAGTCCAGGTCCTTCTGGCGTTTCTTACATTTGATTCAATCTATCACCCAGTTGTCTGCAAACAGCTAAAAAGAAAAAACAAATAAACAAACTTCCACCAAGGAAGTCGGCTTGCTCTACTATCCCGGGAGCCTGGAAACCTTAGTTCTCGTCCAGTTCTGAAGGAAGCCTCCAAGATGTGTTCCACTTTTGTTTATTCAATCCACAATCCCGTCTACAGTTTCCGGGACAAACAGCCATCCGGTCATTATTTATGCTTCATTCTGAAGAATTCACCACCATACAATTCTAATTGTGTTGCTGAACCTTCAAACATACCTGCTGAGGTATCTTCTAGAATGACCCAGAACAGAACAACGTCTGCACCCTTTGCAAGCAGGTGACGAGGCCGGGGAGCTCTAACTTTGGAGCAAGACTGTAGAGAACAAAGTGCAGATTTTCTGTCTGGAAGCTGAAGATGCTGAAGTTGACACCAAGAAGTGAGGAACTCCTGGGAGACCTTCTGGTCCAGATGGCACCAAAGTCCGCATTGCAGAGGGCAGCAGCCAGGGTCTGGTGTGGACCTGTGGCGGGCAGATGTGTCCTGTCTCTGGACTCAGATCCACCGACAGCAGCACTGCCCTAAAAGAATCCACCCGACCTGCGACCTCATGGTACCCCGACTGTGCCATGATCTGCTAGACTGCCAGCCCTGGAGCTGCACTTCCTTCCCCGCCCCGGAGTGCTCACTCCCTACCAGGCCGGCTGCCTATATTCCTTAGACAACTCTTGAGTTTCCACCACTGGATGGGGTCGGGCACTGGGCAGGTGCGTGGGACTCAGAGCACAACAGATACGAGCACCCTGCCCTCTAGTGTCGCTGGGGACGTTTCCACCTCCGTCCTCTCTGTCCTGCCACCACTCCTCACTCGGCCGGAGACCGTGATGTCCCGCCACCCACCAAGTGTCCCTCGGCGGATGACCCCGAACGCTGGCTCGTCTGACAGACACAGGACTGGGCAACGGTCACAGGCTGCACCGCTCTTGGCCTCCGGGGTGATGTCCGAGAGGCTGCGACTGGCCCGACACCTTCCACACCAGCATCCCAGCCCCTCTGCCTTTTATGCCCTGACACACGTGAGCTGTGATAGCTAGTCCTCTCAGCAGCCTAATATTGAAATACTTTTCCTTTTAAGCCTGACTGTGGCCAAGTGGGAAGCTACTCCCAGCCTGGGAGTGGAGAGTGTGTCAGCAGAGATGGAAAGCCACACGGAGTACTCGCGCGTGCCCCTCTAGCTGCTCACCCCACACCAGTGATGCTCCTTCTCCCAACCAGAGAGTGGAGACACTTCAAAAAGGAGATGGAGAAGGGACTCCATTTTTTTTTTGAGTCAAAGTCTCACTCTGTCACCCAGGCTGGAGTGCAGTGGCACGCTCAAGGCTACTGCAGCCTCAACTTCCTGGGCTCAGTTGATCCTTCTGCCTCAGCCCCCCAAGTAGCTGGGATTACCGGCATATGCCACCACACCCAGCTAATTTTTTAAATTTTTGTAGAAACAAGGTTTTGCTGTTCATGTTTCCTAGTCTGGTCTTGAACTCCTGGGCTCAAGCAATCCTCTCCTTGGCCACTGCACCTGGCATGGGGAAGGGATTCTTTAAAGCTGAATAGGAAGCCCTAGACAGATGCCCTCGCAAACCTGTATGAAACGACCAGCATTAATACAGCAAAAAGGTCTGTGACCTGAACTTCAGTGTGGAATACTGCCCAGGTTTACAAATTGGCCTCTGGGTAGGACATGAGCAAAGCAGTCTAGGAAAGCTTTACAGAGACTCTGAAAACGAAACTGCCATTGGAACCACAGCCCACAAAGGTAGGCCAGGTTCTGCACACTCAACCTCAACCTTAGCTGTAGAAATTGACCTCAAGCCCTGATAAATACTGTTTTGTTAAATTTTGGCTCTTTATTCCAACCAGTAAAAACCTGAGCTACCCTGACTAGTCTGTGGCCACTAAAGATTTTTAAAGATCTGCTTTAGTGTTCACCCAACATATGGGTGAACAGCCCAGGAGAGAGCCTGTGCACATACCTCTCTGTCGCCTCCTTGTGAGGCAGCCTAGTCTTGTGAGCGAGTCCCAGCCGGGGCGCTGATTCCATCCCTGTTAAAGTCAGGCTCCCACCAACCGCTGAAGCTTAAGAGCGGCAGGTGGGTGTGGGGCACACCCAGCACACGCGGCTGCCCAGAGAACTGTGGTCCTGTGTCCCGCAGGGAAGCAGTGTTATTCTGTTATTCTTTCCCTGGCTGTACCTTACATTAGGAAGTCCAGGTGTTGAAAGGTGCCTTGAACAGGTTTCTTTGTAAGACCGAAAATCCTTGGTTACAGTAACTTGGGGACTTATATGCCTACATGCAAGGACAGGGCCACCTGCACTATCTCTTTTCCTTGATGGTCCTGAGAGCCTTTATTTCAGACTCTTGTCAGAGCACAGAAGCTAGAGATCTGAACTTGGGTTACCAAAGGTTAGAGAGAAGAGACAGAGCCAACCAACTCAGCCCAAAAACGACTGGGGTGGGGTGAGAGGCTGCTGGCGGCTCAACGGGGGATCAGGGTTTCCAGGCTCCCCAAGCCCCAAATGGCAGGGAAGAATGCAGGAGGCAGCACCTCACATTTTGAAAGAGGTACAGGTAATATCATGTTTGGAGAGCCAGGTTAGCATCTAGGAAGCTCCCTGAAGATGGGAAGACAAATTTGTCAGGCCTTCCCAAGATGGTCTCACATTTCACAAAACCTTTCCGATCTCAAAGAGGGAAGCTATCAGATGCTGTAAGAGAAGGGGGACGAATTGTGCGCCTAACAATAAATCAATGTAGTAGGTATAAGGACATTAAACCATGAGGTCTGAAGAATTCTTTCAGATCTAGGACGGCTGCTCCACCAAGACCAGGCCTTGACAGCGGGGCAAGTCCTACCAGCGAGCGACAGTGTGGCCAGCAGGAAAACTGTAGTCAACAGGTGCCAGTCAGAGCCCATGGGCAGAAGACGCCCACAGCAATGCAGACATGCAAGGTCTGAGACAAAGGCCAAGAGTGAGACGACTGGGCGAGCAGTCAGGTGGTGGCAGAAGGTTCCGTGTTTCCAAGAGGCGGTCCACTTAAGAATGTGATGACACCAGTTTGGCCAACATGCTCAGAGAGAAAAGACCATCCACAACAAAGTCTCATTCTCTCTCAGACCAATCCATGTGCTGGAAACTATTTTCAGCACAAGCAAAATCCAGGGAGAAAAAAAGTGGGTCTCAAACTAAATTAGTCAGATTGGAAAATCTTGTCCAAAATGATCTGTGACGCGTGGCAGAAGGTGCATTTATTTAATCATTCTCATTTCTGGAGCTTTTATTGAAATGGCGACGTCTTTCCTGTTGATTCCAAGTATCTTAAACCTAGAGAGCAGGGTGGGGGTGTCCTGAGTGCCGTTTTTGCCTACCCAAGTCCCCAGGAGGCCAAGCAGTGTCGCCTTCCAAGGGCAGGGAGCGCAAGGAGCTGTTCAGGGGCTAGAGGGCCACTCCGTCAAGAAGGGCCTCCACAGCCTGCTGCCAGCCTCCAGCCTCCACCACATGAGGACGGTAATGGAGCCTGGCTGACTACAGTCAGCAGTCTGCTGACTCAGGGAGGCAGAGAGGGGAGCTGGTGGTCTACACTGAAAAGGGGCATTGCTTCCACTGGGAGGGAACACATCAAGAAAGCCATGGAGGAAGCAGCTCAGGCCAGCTGCCCACGTGCAGGAAGAATGGCACAACCCTTCCACAAGGACACAGACGGCACGTGCCCGGAGGCCGGACTCCTCCTGTGTCCAGTTGTTTCCTGCAGATGACCAACAGCCAGTCCCCCTGGTGCTAGAGTTCTGTCATGCCAAGTGGTCACCAGGAGAAGTGGAGTCTGAGGCTCAGAGTCCGTTGGTGTCAATGGCTGTCACGGAGGCAGGTGTTGAGGATCGTGAGGTGGTTGCCGAGGTCTTGTCCAGAGCGGGGCTGGGCACGCTGCAGTCAGTGGACCTGGCGGAAGAGCCCCTCCCTCCGGGAAGCAGCGGCCGGCTCTGGCCGTGGGGGCTCTGGCCATGCATGCTCTGGCCACAGAGGCGGTGGTGCCGCTCCCAGTCCTTGTGCTGGCAGAAAGAGCCACAGTAGCGTGCGATGTTGCAGCCACTGCACGTCTCGCTGGCTTTGCGGCCACAGTTCCAGCAGTTCTGCAAGACACAGGCATCAATTAGTGACTGCTGGGATCTCAAGGGGCAGGCTTGTCACGCATCACCTGCATGGCAGAGCCAGGGGCTGCATGTGAAGCCTGGGTTTTGGAACTACACACACCTGTGCTCCAGGCCTGCCTCTACCACTGCTCACCTGTGGGAAACACACCTCCCTTCAGGGTTTCCTTCCTCTGTACAACAGGAAAACTGCCTACGAACAGTGAGATGAGGGTGTAGTGAGAACACCTTGCACAGCACCAGCAAAGGCAGATAGTCGCTTCCTGCTTAAGGAGTGAACTCATCTTTTTGACTTGTATTTTAGACAAACATTTCTCTTGCTTTTCCCAATGAAGAAACAGTCTTTATTGTTTTTACTGACAATACCTGATCTTTTTTTAAAAACTTTTTATTTTAAAGATGTGGGGTACAATTCAGGGTTAAGTATACAAATGTTCACTATGCAGGTACCCTTGTTGATGAGATGTGCCCAATACCTGATCTTTTAACCAAGATACTTTTTTTGAGATTGGGGGGGGTCTTGCTACGTTGCCCAGGCTGGACTTGAACTCTCCTGCCTCAGCCTCCCAAGTAACTGAAACTACAGATGTCCACCACTGCACCTGACTTTAACAAGAATTTTCTTTTATTTATTTTTTTGAGTTGGAGTCTCACTCCGTTGCCCAGGCCGGAGTGCAGTGGCATGCTCAGTCACCCCAGCGTGAACTTGCTGGGCTCTGGCAATCCTTCCGCCTCAGCCTTCCAAATAGCCCGAACTACAGGCGCGCACTACTACGCCTGGCTAACTTTTTATTGATTGTAGAGACGAGGTCTCGCCAAGTTGCCCGGGCTGGTCTCGAATCCGCAGGCTCAGGCAATCCACTCACCTCGGCCTCCCAAAGTGCTGGGACTACAGGCTGAATCACCGAGCCTGGCCAACAAGAATTTCAAAAGAAGTATAGGCAATAACTGATTTTTTTCTTTTCAAGTTACCTACCAGGGAGCCAGGATGGGTGAACAGGAATGATTATGCTATCCCTCCTTTGACCTCTGTGCCTGTTTTCCTTTCACTGTGTGTCTCATCATAAATGGGCTGGTATCATGAACATTCTTCGGGCCTGTTCTGCCACCCACAATAACCTCAGAACTCAACACCAGGCACATAGCTAGGTTTAGCAGGACCCCCCGAGAGAAAAAGTACACCCGCTGAGAATGTACTAATTCTACTACAGGAGTTCTGAGCCATGTGAGACTGGATGAGAGCTGGAAGTAGTGGCCATTAAAGCAGAAGTAGGAGTAGTCACTGCAGGGACAGCCTTATACACCCCACCTGGCTAAGAGGGAAGAGCACCATCTTGAGGAGGGCAGGATGGATTGCAGTGGCCAGTCTGCTGCCCATTGTCTTCCCCACCCACTCGTTCTCCAGAACGACAGAAGCCAGTTGTGAGGCCTAGCGATGGCACCACCCGAGGAAGAAAGGCTTCACCAAAGGAATCAGTACACTCGCTCCTAAGTGCAACCAGCAGACGGCAAGGGCTGAAAGGGCCCTTGGGACCACCGAGTCCACCTCTGGCACTGTACAGATGGAAGAACGGAGGGCCAGTGGTGACCGACTTGCCTAAGGTTATAGAATGATGATGTGGCTATGCAACACAATGTCTGGAACCCCGCCCCCGACCTCCAGACGTCATGATTGTCAACGTGCAAGCTTAATCTCAAGGAGCATTAGGAAAGATTGCAGATTCCCTTCTGATATAACAGGCTCCTCAGGAAATACACTCTCAGAATTGCCAGCTTTTGTCAGCACCAAAAGGAGAGGACAAAAGCGGTGCAGAAGTCATTCTCGGGTTACAGGTGCAGAGCCTCAAGCAGTTCACATTCCAGCGAATTCCCTACTGTGGAGTCAGTCCCACAGGCTAACTCCAAACAGTATTTCAGCAGAATGTTCTTGCTTGAAGGAAGAATTCACGCATTGCCTACATAGGGCTGCTGGGCAAACACAGACCGACAGGCCTGCCACTGGCTGAATGGAAGAGCCCCTCTGACAGAGTGTGCAAAAACATCTCAGAAAAAGGGCAGAGGATTAAAACCACAGATGCCTTCATCTTGGCTGGCATTATTTTTTAAAGAGCTCATTTCATCATTTGTGATGCATGAAACACAGTGAGGCAAAATAAACAGTCTCCCACAGAGGCAGCACCACAGAAATGCAAGAACAATGTGGCTGGTGTCAGAGAAGCCAGGATGAAAAGGACAGTTTTACATCCTCTTCCTCTTTGGCTTTTCCCAGACCTAACTAGGGAGTTGTTGGTTTGTTTGTTTGTTTTGTTTTGAGCCAAGATATAGGACAAAAGGTATTGTTGTAGTCACCCTTCAAAACCTGCCTTCCTCAAAGCTGGAGAAATAAAGTTGGCACAAAGTCCTCTGTATTTAACTGGGAAAGGTTATAAACCTTCTGAGTTACTGGCCTGGTAAATCAGAAATGTGATTTTAGACTCTCCTTTGTCAAACAGGGGCCATCAGCTTATGTCAATATTACTTCAAGTGGGGCCGAGGACTATACTAGAACTACCTAGGGCTTGTTGAAATTCCTAGGACACATTTCAGACCTCCCTGACCTCACTGCAAACTTCGCCCACAGGAAAATGACTCCTCATTTTACTGACAACTGCTATCCCTATTACGTTTGCCAGGAAATCCAGACTGGTGACAGAACGTGCTCTGTGCCAGAGATAAGGGGACCTCTGACTTCTTCCCTTCACCCCCGGCATGTGAGGGAGATGCTTCAGCGGAAGTGGCTGTTTTGCATGAACAGGAGTTGCCACAGCCTGAAGACTGACAATCTAAGATCTTTCCCATCAGCATAGTGCACTGCAATTTAAAAGCACTTCCATAGCCGGGCTCGGTGGCTCAGTCTGTAATCCCGCGCGCCATGGGAGGCTGAGGTTGAGTGGATTGCCTGAGCCCACGGGTTCGAGAGACCCGCCTGGGCAATTTGGCGAGACCTCATCTCTACAATAAATCAAAAATCAGCCGGGTGTGGTAGTGCATGCCTGTAATTCCGGCTACTTGGAAGGCTGAGGCGGAAGGATCGCCGGAGCCCAGCAGCTCGAGGCTGAGGTGGCCGGGAGCGGCCACTGCACTCCAGTCTGGGCGACAGAGTGAGACTCCAACTCAAAAAAAATTAAATTAAATTAAAATTAAAATTAAAAAATAAAAGCACTTCCACAACCACAATCCAATTTCATCTTTCTAAAAACTATGAGACTAGCAGAGTAGGAGCTGGTATACCCATTGAACAGAGATGGAGATTGACTCCTTTCAGGGAGCACAGCCAGTGTGAGGGAGAACTGGGACTAGATGTCTGGGGTCCTGACCTCCAGTCCTGGGATCCTTCCCCCATACTCAACAGCGTCTCACAAATAAGAAACTCCACAGATACCTGGTAGCTTCAAAGAGTGTTTTCTGGGTGGAATGGAGGGAAATCAGTCCTGATGGTCCAATGCAGACTCACCAAAGCTTAGTCCTGCCTCTCTCCTGCCTAAGGAAAGCAATTTTGCTGGGATAGATGCTGGTGTGCCCCTCACCAGCAGTCGCTTTGCAGACTCTTTAAAATCACAGTTCCTTAAAAATCACAATCCCATACACGGAGACCTGGGACTTAAACCTAAGCATTCCAGATCAGAAAGCATGCCATTAGCCAAACGCTATGCTCCTTTTCTTTGGAGATCGAGCTAAAGGTAAACAGAGATAAAAGTAGATAAATATGGATAACTGTAGATGTTGATATGTATGACTGTAGATACAGAGTTAAACATAGAGAGAAGAAATAGACATGATACTGCTCAAAAACAGTTCTAAAGAAAAAGGAGGCATGGAGAAGGAAAAGAGAGGGAGCTAAGAAAATTTTTCTGGGCCGGGCGCGGTGGCTCACGCCTATAATCCCAGCACTTTGGGAAGCCAAGGTGAGAGGACTGCCTGAGCCCACAGGTTCAAGACCAGCTGGGCAACTTGGTGAGACCTCATCTCTACAGTAAATCCAAAATTAGCCGGGCATGGTGGCACATGCCTATAGTTCCAGCTACTTGGAAGGAGTAGCCCAGCAAGTCGAGACTGTGGTGGCTGTGAGTCCTGAGCCCAGTAAGTCGAGGCTGCGGTGGCTGTGAGCATGCCGCTGGACTCCAGCCTGGGCAACAGAGTGAGTCTCCTGCTCAAAAAAAAGGAAATTATTTCTCATGATTCATGGAGTGCTAAAACAAGGGATTTCATCACCTCCTCTGTGATGGCCACAAGACATTTAGACATTTTCAGCTTCACAATGCAGTGTGGCATTTCTATATTAAAATGGATCATTTAAATATAAAGAGAAAAAAAAATTTCAGTTGTTTTTTATTTGTTTGTTTTGTTTTTTTGAGTTGGAGTCTCACTCAGTCGCCCAGACTGGAGTGCAGTGGCCGCTCCCGGCCAACCGCAGCCTCACCTGCTGGGCTCCGGCGATCCTTTCGCCTCAGCCTTCCGAGTAGCCGGAATTACAGGCACGTGCTACCACACCGGGTTGATTTTTTGATTTATTGTAGAGATGAGGTCTGGCTGCCCAGGTGGGCTTCGAACCTGCGGGCTCAGGCAATCTACCCACTTCAGCCACCCAAAGGCGTGGGATTACAGGCTGAGCCACCGAGCCCGGCTTTGTTGTTTGTTTTTTTAAAAAAAGTTATTTAAACTTCAAGATAATGTCTCCAAGACAGTTGATCTCCCAACTACTAGATGGGCTCTACCTACTTATAGAAACAGACTTTTTCCTTGTTTTAAAGTTGAAAAATGACTCAGGCCGGGCGCGGTGGCTCAGCCTGTAATCCCAGCACTTTGGGAGGCCAAGGTGAGAGGACTGCCTGAGCCTGTGGGTTCGAGACCAGCCTGGGCAACTTGGTAAGACCTCGTCTCTACAATAAATCACAAAAACTAGCTAGACATGGTGGCATGCATCTGCAGTTCCAGCTACTTGGAAGGGTGAGGCGGAAGGATCGCCTAAGTCCAACAGGTGGAGGCTGTGGTGGCCGTGAGTGTGCCACTGCACTCCAGCCTGGGCAACAAGAGTAAGACTCAACTCAAAAAAAAAAAAAAAAAACCAAAAGAAAAATGACTCAAATGAAAGTTACAGAAAATTTTCATTAAATTTTTCAAAACGGCTAGTTAATGTTTTTGCCACATGCTTTTTTTCTTTTGAATTTTTTCATTTTTTTCCTCATTGTGGTATACAAGTGTCCGGTATAGAAGCATCACCAAGTCCTGGGCCCCACGTACCAGGAAGTTGGGCAGGTGTACCCAATCTGTCACTTTCAGTCCATAACAAAGCTATTCTGTTTGTAAAGAGACTAGATGCTATAGGACCTTGTGTTTTCTTTCTCCTGTGTCCTGGCTATAACACTAAAAAATTATGTCAGTTAAATTCCCTGAGCTAGTTTCCTTATCTGTTAATTAGAGACCAACAATATCCACCTCACAGGGTCATTGTGAAGGTCAAAAAGAAAACACGCAGCTGGGTGTCTGGTGCACAGTAAGCCCACTGAATCAGCACTGGTCACCATACAACTACACCAACTCTTTCTTTAGGGTGAGTTTCCAAAACCCAGACCAAGAGAATGAGCCTGTAACTCTCTAAGAATACGGTCCAATAATGTACTGTATCTTGGTGTGCGAGTCCCAGAGTGAGAACCAAACCTCTTCTGGTGCTGGATACAGGTTAGAACCATCCAGCTCAAGAGTGGACTGTGTCTCACTGTCTAGTACATGAGAGGAAAGTGGGGCTGTGGTCACGCTAGCTGCCCTGTCAGCCCCCGGGCTGACAGACTCTGACCTCCGTGGATTCTTCTTGCTCGTTGATGACAAGGAAGGCATCCTCTGCGGCCTGCCGCTTGACATCTGCTATGGTCTGCTCCATTCGCGCCCTCTCGGTCGCAATCACTTCGAAGGCCTTCTGCTCTGCCTCAGCGACAGCCTTCTGAACTTCTGACATGGCCTGAATTTTCACCTTATTCACAGCTTCTTCTAGAAGAAAGTGACAGTACAATCAACTGGCCGAGAAATCCTTTCCCTCCCACCCACAGCATTTCTAAGAAGGGACAGCACTGTAAACAAGATGACTCTTTTCTAAAATGGCACGCACTCGCTTCTCCATCCATGCAGGCGTGAGCAGGTGTGTAGATGATAGAGCTGAGCACTGAGGTAGCTGGGGACACAGAGGTGACTAGACACAGCCCACACTCACGCCTACTCGCAGTCCAGCACAAGGTGGTCTGGGTGCCATCGTCTATGTCAGCAAAGAGGTTAGAGTTCTAAAGATAAAAGTGGGCAGACCCACGAGGGCAGGGAGGACCAAGAAAACACGTTAGGTTGAGATAAGAGGAGCAATGAGTTTCTGCTTACATGTCAAGCTAAGGAGTGAATCCTTTTCTTCTGAAGGAAATGCGAACTGCAAAAAGGGTTATATGCAAGAAGAAAAGAATGAAGACAGGGACAGCAACCACCCAGCTGACAAAAGGAACTCTGGATTTAGGCAGGAGCAGGCAGCACCAAGGAGGGATGAAGCAGGAGGAGGACGGTGGCTTCTGGGTGTGGAGGTGAAGGAGAAGAACAGTAGTGCGATCAGGGAGATGGAAAACATCATAAAGCTGGGAGGGGGCGCTGCCTATCCAGGTGTTAAGTGACAGGGGGAGGTTAGATAAACCAGGTTGAAGAAATATGGACTAAAGACACAGGCTTATACAATATCAAAATTAAAAATATTGATAAAAAAAAAAAAAAAAAGACACAGGCTTGGACAGATTGCCAGGAGCCCTGTCCAGTGACCATCACCCCACCTGGTTCCTGATCCTTCCTCCCATCACCAATGCCCTGTCTGGTTTCCACAGGGTGGACATCCAAACAACACGCTCCACACAGGTAAGCCTCAGTCCAGTGTGAATAACGTCCTACATGAGTCCACAGGATCAGATAACCAAAAGCCTAAGGAAACTCCCCCACTTTAGTTCCTGCACAGCAGACTCCAAGGAGGCTGAAATCAGAATGTTTCAGGCTGCCATGCTAGAACTTTTCATGCTATTGCTCAGCTTTAAGAGAGTCTTCACTCCAAAGGCCAAGGACTCCATCTTCCTTGATTCTGGTTGTCCACATAGGTCCTCATGAGCCCCCTCGGGGTGCCAGGCAGGCAGCAGTGCCTCACGGAGCCCACATAACAGTGCTCTCAGGGACAATTCATCCCTTCCATTAAGGATGAAGCAAGAAGCCCAGTTTGGGTAACAATCTTACTGGAGATCATTTAAGGTCATAGATGGCACTACAGCAGAGCAAGGACTCAAATCTAGCTGGCCTAATGCCAAAGATGGGACATAACGCAGTTAACAAAAGACGCCTCCCAGGGAATCAAGGTCACCTAGTTTTAAAGAGATCTTTTTCCCCCCATGGAACTGAAGCTTGAAATATAGAGATTTGTACACGGTAATCTCTGAGACCTTATGGTTATTTTCATTGCTCACATTTATGATTATTTTCACTTTTCCCAATTCTGTTCTATTCTACCTCTTATTAAAAACATGCATCTTTCCATTTTATAACTTTTTTTTAAGTCACAGTCTCACTCTGATGCCCAGGCTAGAGTGCAGTGTCACAATCACAGCTCACCACAGCCTCAACCTCCTGGGCTCAGGCGAGCCTCTCACTTCTGCCTCCTGTGTAGCTGATACTACTGGCACACATCACCATGTCCAGTTAATTTTTTTTTCTTAGTAGAGATGAAAGCTTGCTAGTTTGTCTTGGCTAGTCTCGAACTCCCAGACTCAAACAATCCTCCCACCTGTCTAAGTGCTGGAATTACAGATGTAAGCCACTGTGCCTAGCAATTTTCTCATTCTCAGTTGCAAGGGTTTTTCTACATTGCATGTAGCTTTCCAAACTTTTTTTTTTTTTAAGTTGGAGTCTCACTCTGTTGCCCAGGCTGGAGTGCAATGGCACTGCTCACGGCCACCGCAGCCTCAACCTGCTGGAATCAGGCGATCCTTCCGCCTCAGTCTTCCAAGTAGC